AGCAGGGGGAGTGGGAGAGGGAGAAGCAGGCTTCCCGCCGAGCAGGGAGCCCGATCTGGGTTTCGATCCCAGGACCCTGGGATCATGACCTGAGCCGAAGGCAGTCGCTTAACCAACTGAGCCACCCAGGTGCCCCTGGTTTTCACTCTTTTTTAATGACTGCAGCTATTGCTGCTCAATGCCTACACCCACTAATTCACTAGGTTTGCAAAAATGGTCATGTAATTTAGATGTGAACAATCATCAAAAAGGGCCTAGTAATGACCACAGATTCTTCTCTGAAGACATGAACCTATCGTCTTTGAAGTAGCAAAAATGCTAATAAACAAATGAGTACCATCAAAAAAGATACTAGGAAACGTCAGGGCATTTCTCATGGCGTTCTATAATTATATGCTACACTATCTGATAGTTTTATATTGATAAAACCAGGTATGGTTTATTGAATGCCTAATATAATACTAGCACCATGTTAGACATTTTATGTATTTTATTTAATCTCACATCTCTGACATGGGTATTACTTTCCTGATTTTATGGATAAGGAAGCTGAGTGCCATGATCACAAGGCAAGGAGTGGCCAGCCTAGGACTTAAAACAAGCCTAGTTGACTCGAGAGAGCCCCTCCTCGGGTCCTGCAACACAGAGCTGCTGAAAACATCCTCATCAGCACGTCCTAGGGCAATCCTAGTGTTGTAATGTTTGCATCCTCCCCAAACTCTTACGTTGAAATCCATTTAATGCCCAATGTTATGGTAATAGAAGGTGAGGCCTTTGGGTGTAGCTGAGGTCATGAGGGTGGAGTCCTCATGAACAGGAACAGGGCTCTTAAAAAGACCCCACAGAGCTCCTAGCCCCTTTTTTATCTTACTGTTTAACCTATAAAATGTGAGGGCACAGTGAGAAGGCCCTGGCTATGAGTCAGGAAGCTGACCCTCACCAGAATGCAACCATGCTGGCATCCCATTCTCTGACTTCCCAGCCTCTGAAACTGAGAAATTTCTATTGTTTGTAAAAGCCATCTAGTCTGCGGCATTTTGTTATAGCAGCCCACATGGGCTATGACAAACCCCAAGACAAACTAAATGGAAAGTGACTTTAAAAACTCTTAATTGGTGGCGCCTGGGTGGCTCAGTTGGTTAAGCGGCTGCCTTTGGCTCAGGTCATGATCCCAGGGTCCTGGGATCGAGCCCCGCGTCGGGCTCCCTGCTCAGTGGGGAGCCTGCTTCTCCCTCTCTGCCTACTTGTGCGTGTTCTCTCTCTCTCTCTCTCTGTCAAATAAATAAATAAAATCTTTAAAAAAAAAAAATAAAGACTCTTAATTGTACTCTGTTACTTGACGATCAAAGACCCTTGCTTGGCACAGGGAATGAAGAGGTCAAGAATGCAGTGCTGCTCCTTTCTTGTGGCAAGAACATGTTTTGTATCAAGCTTGATGGATGATTTAAAAACACTAATGATATCTAGAGTTCTACCTAGAAGGTAGAAAGCCAGGAATAGCATCATTCCCACCCTAAACAGTAAGAAGCCGGACAGCCTACAACACTAACTTTTGCTGAAGCCCCCAGAGCTGAAGACGAAGGGAAACCAAGCAGCCTGAAACCTAAGCAAAGACAGGCCCATTGGAGGAGACAGCAGGCAGCTCTGGCTCACAGGATGGGTGCCAGACAAGCCAGCTGGACCGATTTCAGCTAGGACTTAAAAAATTGCTAAAGCCTAGTGTGGGCTAGGCCTGAAATGCAATCTCCAGAGGCCGCCAACACGGGGGTGCACACCCACTAGCAGGCTCTGCTCCACTGACCTCTGCCGGTGTCCCCGGGAATGACTGAGGTCAGGCGTGAGCTCAAAAGCATCCATGGGGGTGTGGGCTGGAGAAGAGAAGGGCCAAGGCTAGTGTGGGAAGGGCACAAAGCCCCACCTGGATTCTTCTCCCTACAGAGAGGGCTAAGCTGCTGGGGCAGAGACAGCAAAGTCTGTTACCCCCAGGGCACAGGGAATACCCTTGTGGCCAGAGGAAGGGAGGCCTCCTATCACAGGGCAAGGAGTAGGAAATGTTCTCCAGCACAAGACCCACCAAAGGCACAAGGCAGAGTGTGGCTGCCATGGGAGGGAGGGCCGGTTGGGTGCACGGATACACAGATAGACAGGGCCTGTCCGCATCTGAGGCTGAACCAGGACAGAAGAGAACCCCACTGCCCTTGACCAGACCACCACCAAAAAAAAAAGCACTCTCTACATTGGATCTTCAATAAAATTTAAAACTTTTGCTCTTCAAAAGACACCTTTAAATAAGTTAGTCACAGACTGGGGCAAAATATCCAAAACATATATATCAGAAAAAGGTCTTACATCCACAATAAAGAACTCTACACAACTCAATAATAAGCCAGGGCTCCTGGGTGGCTCAGTCGGTTAAGCATCGACTCTTGATTTCCGCTCAGGTCATGACCTCAAGGTTGTGAAATTGAGCCCCGTATCGGGCTCCACGCGTGGAGCCTGCTTAAGATTCTCTGTCTCCTGGGCGCCTGGGTGGCTCAGTCGTTAAGCGTCTGCCTTCGGCTCAGGTCATGATCCCAGAGTCCTGGGATCGAGTCCCACATCGGGCTCCCTGCTCGGTGGGAAGCCTGCTTCTCCCTCTCCCACTCCCCCTGCTTGTGTTCCTGCTCTCGCTGTCTCTCTCTCTGTCAAATAAATGAATAAAATCTTAAAAAAACAAAACAAAACAAAAAAAACCCAAAACAACAAAAAAACAAAAAAAAAAGATTCTCTGTCTCCCTCTCCCTCTGCCCACCCCCACTCTAAAAAAAAAAAAAAAAAAGACAAGCCACCAGAAAATAGGCAAAATTTCTGACCTGACCCTTCTTCTCCAAAGAACAGATACAAATAGCCAATAAGCAAGTGAAAAGACACTCGATATCTTTACTTATCAGCAAAACAGAAACTGAAACCACATGACAAACCTTTTGAATGGCTAAAATTAAATGACAACATCAAGTGTTGGTGAGGATGTGAAGCAACTGGAGTTCTCACACAGCTGGTGGAATATAAAATGATGCGACCACTTTGGAAATTAATTTGGCATCTTCTTAGAAAATTGAATCTACCCACCACAAGACCCAGCAATCCAACACCTCCAGATACTTTAGCAAGAAAAATAATTTGTACACCAATGTTTTTAGAACCTTTATTCGTGATAACCCCAACCCAGAAATAACCTGAATATTCATCAAACTGGTCAAGAGATGAACACATTTTGGTACAGCCACACCATGGACTACTACTGGGCAATAAAAAAAACAAACAAAAAAAAACAAGCCACTGAACAGCCAACACTATGAGCAAAAAAAGTAGCTAAAAGAGCAACTCCTGCATGATGAGTCCATTTACATAAAATTCTAGAAAATGCACACCAACAGAGACAGGGAGCAGGTCAGTGGTTGCTTGGGGACGGGGGGGGTGATGATACCCAGAGTGATGAAGTATTCAGTATCTTTAAGATTTTATTTATTTATTTGAGAAAGAGAGAGAGCACGAGTAGAGGGGAGGGGCAGAGGAAGAAGCAGACTCCCCACTAAGCAAGAAGCCTGATGCAGGGCTCAATCCCAGGACCCTGGGATCATGACCCAAGCCAAAGGCAGCCACTCAACTGACTGAGCCACCCAGGTCCCCAGTATTCAGTATGTTCATGAGTATGTACGTATGCTAAAATCATAAAATTTTACATTTCAAATATATGCAGTTTATTGAACGTAAGTTATACCTTAATAAAGTAGAAACAAGGCTAAAAGAAATGACTATATGAAAAAGCAAAGTAAGTTTTACATGGCAAAATCCTCCAAGCAAAAAAGCAACTGAAAATAAGGAAAAATATTTGCTAACTCAAATCACTAAAGCTAATTTCCTTAACATCCCACAGATCAATGAGAAACAATTCAACAACAAAAAACTGGGCAAATGATAGTAATAATTCAGATAAAAGAAAGCACAAAAGACTCCTGAATATATGAAAAGATGCTCACTCATGAGAGAAATGGAAATTACAAATATCATTTTTCACTATCATTGAAAAGCTCAAAAACATACATTTGTAAAGGTGTAGGAATACACATAGGCTACCATCTCTGGGATAGTAGTCAAAACTACAAATGCAAATACCCTTTTAACCAAACAATTCCACTACTAGAAGTTTATCCTACAGGTAATTCTCACATGTACAAAATTACACACGAACAAGGTTATTCACTCAAGCATTATTTGTTAATGGCCACAAGACTGGAAAAACAGCTCAATATCCATGAGTAGAGAGTTTGTTGATACAAGTTATCGTATACCTTACAGAACACTGAGATGCTCTGAAAAAGAATAGGGAAGCAATTTTTACACTGATAAACAGATCTCCAGTTTACAGTAAGTGGAAAAAAGGAAATGTGGAGTACACATGTTGAATACCACCGCATCAAAAGTTACATGTGGGGGGAACGTATATATTTGTGTATCAACTTGTAAATGCATAAAATGTCTCTAGGAGGTTATACAAAAAAGTAAAAATAGCAGCTGCCTGGGGCAGGAAATTGGCTGACTAGGGAAAAAGGTCTAGGAGAGAAACTTTCCATTCCATACACTTTTTTTTTTTTTTAAGTAGCCTCCATGCCCAGTGTAGAGCCCAACACAGGGCTCAAACTCACAACCCTGAGATCAAGACCTGAGCTAAGATCAAGAGTTGGATGCTTAACTGACTGAGCCACCTAGGCACCCCCAAAGTATATTATTATATTTTATCTAATATAACTATATCTATATAGAGATGTAATCTGTATACCTATTAATATAACTGTATCTAATATATACACCTCCTTGTAAAATCTATTATTTCATGTCCTAGTTAGAAAAAACACCCAACATTAGAGATTAATAGGAAACCCTGCATAGAACTGAAAGTAAATGAGAAATAAAGGTTGTACACTTTAAACTTACATGTTATATGTCAATTATATTTCAATTTTTAAGATTAATGAGAAATAAAGAAGAGTAAAGAAACATGAATGTCTCATCCTTGGCACCAGTTGGATAGGAGGGTAGGGGAAAATCCCAAGAATATGACCCACAAAGCCACACTACCAGCATGGTCCCCAAACCTTCAGAGAGCTTGAAGTGGTCTTGGGCTGGTAGCACCCCCCAGGTGACTGAAGCAAACTTGAATCCTCTCTGGAAAAACCTGACCAGCCAATGGCAACTATGGGGGGCATCCTGATCTTCAGGTGCATCCTGACATCAAAATGTTAAGATATGGGAAAATGTGTGCCTTAGAATTGATAAAATATGGTATTTAAGATTTACACTAGAATATCTAAGCACAAAACTTTCTTATTCTCTTCCAAACACTATGCTCGATTAAACACCCTTGAAATTTCTCATGGCACATTTTCTACTAAGTTATTTTATGATACTTTCTGTGACTCTACTATTTTTGTTAAGGCTTAAAGACAAACATCTGACAAGTTTACATGCTATTACAAACATAAGAAAATGGTCATGTATGATGTCTTACCCAAATATAAAAATCCATGAAAACATGATCTCAACTTTTAACCAAAATGAAATAGAGTTTTAAACTACTCCATTTCTGTAATTATAAACTTACTTTATTGCTGCCAACTTTTTGGACAAAGTTCCCTCTGCTGGAATCTTTTAAGAGAAAAAAAAAAGAGTATTAAAAAAAATTCATTATTTGAAATATTACTTCAAATTAATTGTATTTAAATTAATTGAATTCTAAATATCTTATTCTGATGTGATATGATTAAAAACATTCAAGGGAAATGAATGAAATGAAAATGAAACTGAGTCCTGTCCTAACGTTGTATGAATGGGATCTGGTGGCGTAGGACAAAATTTTCCAGTGCTATAGGACCATATTCAGATTTCACAGGCATTAACTCTCCATCTAGATGGAAGTAAACATAATGTGCCCTCAAACTGTGTCAGATGACTCAAAGGAGTCTCTGGTCATGAGGGGACACTGATGTTGAAAACACATATGAAAAATATAAGGAAAACTTTTATAAAATAAGCTTGGAAAAAGGCAACATTTCTAAATTAATATTTTATTGTAAATTCTATAGGATTTTAAATATGTTGAATTAAATTGGTAAAAAATGTAAAGACATATTACCCATGTGACATCCATGTCTAAGAGTTGATATATGCCAGCTGGCAAAAACAACAACAACAACATGGTATCTTTAATCAGGCAAATAAGGGAACCCCCTTTACATTCAAGCTCACTTTATTTTCAGTCATATACAGTATTCCTTTAGTACTATTAAGAGTGAAGGGGGTAGGGAGGGACAATTTTATGGAGGAGATGGAGACTCAAGTCAGCAACTGTGACTGTCAGCGATGTGACAATATACTCAGGTACTGAGAAGACAAAGGTGAAAAGATACAGACCCTGCAAGTTCACCGACCAGGACCACCTATGAATGTCAATTTAATTCAGGGCAGTAACTATAAATCTCCTCTGGAAATATTTCTTAGTCATCCGATATGTAGCAAAATTAGGAAATTCTCAGTTTGTCCTGTTCAGACTGCTAACATACACTCAACATGGACAGTTTAACAGTCCAAGACATGAGAAATGGCCCAGTGAATAATCCACCAGTGAATGACAGTCATCAAAACACATTTACTGGGTGCCTTCTAGAGGCCTGCAAACATCTAGATCCTGTTATTGAAGATACAAATGAGTAAGTATAACATAAGGCAATAAGGTACAAGAATAATTTAGAGGGGAAAAAATACCACTTGATGGTATAAAGTATCAGGAAAAACTTGAATAAGTGACTTTTTATTAAATTTTTTATTATTTTTTTAAAAGATTTATTTATTTGAGGGAGCGCACACGTACATGCACGCAGAAGCGGGGGCAGGGGGAGCAGAGGGAGATGGAGAGAGAATCCCAAGTGGACTCCATACTGAGCCCAACACAGGGCTCAGTCCCACAACCCTGAGATCATGACCTGAGCCGAAATCAAGAGTCGGATGTTTAACCGACTGAGCCACCCAGGCACCCCTTGACATTTTTTTTTTTTTAAGATTTTATTTATTTATTTGACAGAGAGAGAGACAGCGAGAGAGGGAACACAAGCAGGGGGAG